TACACTGAACCTTATGGGAAAATTTGATTCGGGTCGCAACCAATTCGGGTCGTGACCAGAGTCGCGGAACAAATTAAGTTCATGAACCGAGGTACCACTGTATTTGGAAAATATGCTAGTTCTGTACTACACAGAAAGCTGATTTAAACTAGGAAAGAGAGCTAGTCATGTATTGCTAATTCTGTCAGTATTTGATACATCACATTTTAAAGATGCTTTGCTGACAAGTGATTTTTATTGTTTTTATTATTTTATTATTTTTAATATGTCTGAAGACTCATGCAAGAATGATACAACTATTGCTATAACTGATCTGCTTTAAGGCTTCTTGATTAGTTCTAATAAAGTTATTACCCCACTATGGATTTTGGTCATTTGAATTTAATAAGTCCCACTGAACTTGAAGGGATATACTTCTGTGTAAGCCTCTTTAGAGAATTGTGTTGCCTATTCCCACTGATTCTATACCAGTTTAGTCAAAAGTAAATTTCAGAAAATTCAATTGTATGTATTTTCAGTTACTGTATGCTTAGAAGTGTTATAAAGGTGTTCATATATTTTATAATAAGCCTCTAGAGGGCCCCAGCTTGCCATGGAACTGCAGTAGCACAACATCCCAGTTTGGCAAGATTATGCTCAGTATTTTGGTGCTCTTGCATAACTCTTTTCCATGTGAATGGGATTTGAATAAATAAATGTCCTGATAATACATGCCCATTCTGTGGAAGCAGATGATTGGTGAATTAGTTCTATATGGCTTTTGTCTTTAGATTGTTGACATTCACAAAATGCCTGCCCTTGAAGAATTTGTCCTTGTCTGCAGTGGGACAGAATCAGTAGAAATTAATACTTTCAAAGATTTGGATGCCTTGAAGATCCTGGAACACTGGAAGAATAAACTAACTCACATACCTACTTCCCTTCCAGAAAATCTTGAAATACTGAAACTTGCTGACAATTTAATAAGTGTTCTACATGAATCTGATTTTGAAGGTTTATACAAAGCAATCTGATTTTGATGTTTCCTTTTAGTACACTTTCCTCCTTTATTAGTTTACAGAGCTTGACTTTGGATGGAAATAATATGGAATCTGTCCCTGGATCATTGCATCTTCCCAACCTAAAGTATCTTAGCATGAAGAATAATAAACTGCAATCTTTTTCAAGAAGCTCGTTCACATCTCTTCATAATCTGCTTAATTTCTTAATTTAAATGGTAATCTACTGACAGATGTTCCTTCTGATCTGCTAAAAACTTTATTGCCATTGAAGCTGGAAAGGAACCAGCTGAAAGTGCTAAAATCTGGAGACGTGAAACAATCAACAAATTTGTCAAACCTCTGCCTGTCTGAAAACCAGCTTTCATCTGTTGATGGTGTGCAGCTTCTTTCAGGCTTAACAAGGCTGGAGCTACCAAAGAACGAACTCCAAACAATACCACTCAGCTTGCCAGTCACACTACAGGAAATTGATTTTACAAATAATCTGATTGGGAGTATAAAAGTACAAGAATTTCAGGATCTACAAAACCTCAACCATTTGTTCCTTGACAATAATATTGTTACCTCATTTGAAGATGGAGGACTTCAAAAATGTATACTGCTGTCTAATTTAGCATTTGAACAAAATCAGTTTAATACTATTCCACTAAAGTAAGTGACTAACAAAGGCACACAGTCTGTCAGGATTCTGGAATTAAAAAACAAAGAAGTCCACAAAACTATTTCCCAGGACTGAAAAGCAAATTTAATCAGTGCATATGCATAGCATTCAAGAGGAAAAGTATAAGGAAAAGATGGTCTTACAACTTTCCAGATGTTAACAGACACGAACTCCCATCAGCAGTAGCTGTGGGTCAGGGATCATGGTCATCATCTTATTTATATATTTTAAAAAATATTAGTTGTGCCCCTGCAAAATTATATTACAAGGTTGGGGACTGTGAAAGCCAGTTTGGTGTACTGTTTAAAATATGAGACTAGGTTTGGATAGACTAGATGCTCTGAGTGGTGTGCTCCTAGGACTATCAGTCCAATAACATTGTGCTATTCTATTTGTCCTAATTCTATTTTTATGTACATATGCGTGTGCGCGCACACATGTGCATATATGTGCAAAGGAAAAGAATACCAGAATGTTCAAACATTTCCTTTGCAATTTTGTTGTTGTTCAGTCGTTAAGTTGTGTCCAACTCGTCGTGACCCCATGAACCATATCGCACCAGGC